CCAACAGAATGAAGGATAAAAACCATATAATCATCATAATGATGCAGAAAAACTATTTAATAAAATAAAACATCTTGGCCAGGCATGGTGGCTCATGCCTGTAATCCCAGCTCTTTGGGATGCCAAAGCAGGCAGATGACGAGGTCAAGAGATTGAGACTATCCTGAACAACACAGTGAAACCCAGTCTCTACTAAAAATACAAAAATTAGCTGAGCGAGGTGGCATGCACCTGTCGTCCCAGCTACTCGGGAGGCTGAGGCAGGAGAATCACTTAAACCTGGGAGGGGGAGGTTGCAGTGAGCTGAGATCGCACCACTGTACTCCAGACTGGGTGACAAAGTGAAACTCTGTCTCAAAAAAAAAAAAAAAAAATCAGGTAGAGGGAAAGCACCTCAGTACAATAAAGTCCACATATGACAGTGCCACAGCTAATATCATACTGCATGGGGAAAGGCTGAAAGCATTCTCTCTAAGAACTGGAACAAGACAAGAATGCTCATTTTTACCACTCCTGTTCAAAATAGTACCAGAAGTCCTAGCCAGAGCAATCAAGCAAAAGAAATAAATAAAAGACATATAAACTGGAAAAGAAGAAATCAAATTATCCCTGTTTGCTGATCACGTAGCCTTACATTGAGAAAAACTCAAAGACTCCATTAAAAAAAAAAAACTCTTAGATTTGAAAATGAATTTAGTAAGGTTGCAGGATACAAAATCAACTTACAAAAATCCAGCATTTCTATACACAAGTAACTATCTAGCTGAGAAAAAAAGAGGCAATCCCATTTACAATAGCTACAAGAAAGAATAAAATACACAAAAATAAATTTAACCAAGCAGGTGAAATACCTCTGAAGGAAAACTAAAAAACACTGATGAAAGAAATTGAAGGGGATACAAACAAATGGAAAAAACATCCCATTCTCTTGGATCAAAAGAATTAAAATTGTTACAATGACCTTACTACCCAAAGCAATCTACAGACTTGAAGCAATCCTTATCAAAATACCAATGACAGAAATAGAAAAACAGTCTTAAAGTTTGTATGGAACCACAAAAGTCCCCAAATAGCCAAAGCAATCCTGAGAAAAAATAGCAAAGCTGAAGGTATCATACTACTAGACTTCAAAACATAGTACAAAGCTGTAGTCATCAAAACAGCCTGGTACTAGCATAAAAACAGACACACAGACCAATGGAACAAAACGGAGAACCCAGAAATCAATCCACATCTACAACCAACTGACTTTTGGCAAAGGTGTCAAGAACATATACTGCAGAAAGGTCACTCTCTTCAATGAATGGTCCTGGGAAAACTGGATATCCATATGCAGAAGATTGAAATTAGACCCCTCAGCTCTCACTCCATACAAAAAAAAAAATCCACTCAAAATGGATCAAAGACCTAAGAACTATTAAATATTAGAAGAAAACATTGGAGAAACACTTCAGGACATTGGTCTTGGAAAAGATTTTATGAATAAGACACCAAAGACACAGGCAACAAAAGCAAAAATAACAAATAGAATTACATTAAACTAAAAAGCTTCTGCACAGCAAAGGAAACAATCAACAGAGTGAATAGGTAACCTGCAGAATAAGAGAAAATATCTCCCAACTATGTATCTGACCTCAGATCAATATCCAGAATATAGAAGAAACTCAAATATCTCCACAGTAAAATAACAAAAAAATCCAATTTTAAAATGGGCAAATGATTGGAATAGACATTTCTCTCTTTTTTTTTTTTTTT